ACCCACTCCACCACCACTACCACCCACACCACCACCACCACTACCACCCTCTCCACCACCACTACCACCACTACCACCCACTCCACCACCACTACCACCACTACCACCCACTCCACCACCACTACCACCCACTCCACCACCACTACCACCACTACCACCACCACTACCACCCACTCCACCACCACTACCACCACCCACTCCACCACCACTACCACTACTACTACCCACTCCATTACCACCACTACCACCACTACCACCCACTCCACCACCACTACCACCCACTCCACCACCACCCACCCCACACTCCACCAACCACGCCACCACCAACCACGCCACCACCACCCACTCCACCATTCCCGTCACCACCACTCACTCCATCACCACCCACGCCACCACCACCCACCCCATCACCACCCACTCCACCACCACCCACCCCACCACCCACACCACCACCACCCACTCCCATCACCACCCACTATCACCACCACCCACTCCATCAAACCCATGCCACCCACGCCACCCCCACCCACTCCCATCACCACCCACTCCACCACCACCCACCCACCCAGACCCCACCACCCACCCCACCACCCACTCCATCACCACCCACCCACCCCACCACCACCCACTCGGCCGCTGCCCCACTTATTCTATGCATTGTCAGGATTTCACGCACGATTCAATCACCTCCGTCTTGTTTGTGTAGCCCGTGTCACGCGCTCTCGCTTGTGATGCCTGCCTGGCACGTTCACGTTTGCCACACTTTCTCTCTATCTTATCTGCACTCCCTTGCGCCATAATATCGTGTGCTGCCTCTCAAAATAGACGGCCTCCCGGTGCCTATTCCACAGGCTGTGGATGTCGTGCCGATTGGTCGGGAAACAACAGTGATTGTCCTGTGGATGGGCTCACCCCCACCCCCGCCGTAGGAACGTGGAATTTCCGCCACTGGCTTAGGGCTGTAAACAGGAGATGAGCACCGCCTCAATGCTCATCTGAGCAGGGATCACGTTGTTGTTGTGTGCTTTATACTTTCTCGTTTGTATGCTGAACTTCTTTCGCACCACCGTACGTAGCCAACCGTGGCTAATGCGAGGTGAGCCGGGGAGGAAGACAGCAAACTAAATGCAAAAAGCAGCTCTAAAGAAATTGGTTTTAAATCTATATGATGATTTCAAAGTGCATAGCTTCAGTGGGCTTCTTAATATCAGAAGGAAGAGCGTTCCAGACGGCCGCAGAAGCGTATCTGAAAGCACGCGATGCGGTGACCGCCTTTGTTCGATGGCGAGCCAAAGCCGCCGCTCATGGTCAACAACCAGTGGCGATTATCTGAACCTCTCCTGGGCTTTCTCTAGGTCGACTCAGCCTTAAATGAGTACTGGGTGCGATGTGTAAACATCGCTACTGGGGAGACAAACGCGGCCGGGCGTGGCGCTGGCCACCCACCCCCCACTTGTGCCGTGCCGGTCCTCATAGGTGCTACTCCCTAACAGCACTTGCCCCCAACACTCAGTTAAGGCTATGCGCTTTTTGTTGTTGTTGAACACGGGACCACTCTGCGCCTCCTGTCTTCCGTGACGCGGGCGCGAGGCTGCATGACGCAGTCCCCGAGTGGGGGGGGGGGGCGGCACGGGATTGTCTCGCTCGGCCCCGCGTGACCGACGGCACCAGCTGTGTCCTCCGGGCACCGCTCTGCCCCTGGCCATGTGTGGCTGTGTGCCCCCGATTGTGCACCCTGTGACGGGCATGCCGCCATGGAGGAGCATTGTGATCATGTGTGACTAGAGACGTATAATGGTGACGTGGCCACGCATGCTACGATCGCGGGTAATTATAGACTCGCGTTTGTAGCGTACGCCGCACGGCTAGGCGGGTCGATGAATGTGCGGCTATTGCATGCATTGTGCATCTGTGTCAATGCCTGTGAAGCTATAGTGTAGATTTGCAGATACGATCAAGTGTAATTATAGACGTGCAGTCGTGACATATAATGTGCGGCTATGGCGGTAACTGTCCAGCTACGACAACGGTGTGCAGCGATGACAATTCACCACGGGATAAAGGCCCCCCCCAAGCCATCGGCATGTCTCACGGTGCCGCGATAATGATCCACCTCGCACCTCAACGCGAGCTGATTCCATCGCTCCATCTCTGCAGCAGAAGTACTGCCAGATGCGCTCCATTCTTTTGGCTGCCACTGTAGTTTAACCACTAAAACTATTTTTTAGCAGGTAAGGCCCACTGAGCAATATAGCTCTTTTTCAGAAGCGACCTGGCCTCAAGCCCAATAAAGTGGGTTTTCACATGTAAATTTATAGCAGCCAAATACTCTAAACGCACATTTCTAAATGCGTGATGGGAAAACTGGAGGACCCAGAGAAAAATCCACGCCACCACAGGGAGAGAGACACGCAAAATTCAAGTATTCAGGCTTTCGGGTCGAGATCGAACCCACGACATCCTGCATACCAGGCGAGGGAGTTAACATTTCGCCCACTGGCTATCATCCCTCTCAAGCCACGTGTCCTGCCCGAGAGACACTTTTTTTAACAGTCGCAACTACGTCTGAACGCGCGTGTGTTCTCAAATCCGCGTGTTCCTCTTTTTGGTTCTGTTTACGCTTCCTACTGCGCTTTTGATCTTTGGTATCCATCTCCATCATCAGTTGCCACGTTACCGATCCGCACGACATCGCGGGTGATTACGCACTACCCGATCGCAAACGTTCATCTTTGAGTTGCGCTTGCACTATCAAGTCCCGCTTCCAACATCTCCTCTCAACCCGCTGTCATCCACCTCCGTTTCATAATTCTATGGCGCCACGGTGGCTGTGAGATGTTAACTACCTCGCCTCGTGTACAGGAGGTCGGAGGTTCGATCCTGACGCTGACGCCTGTGATATATTTGGAGTTTGCTAAAAAAAAATCACATACAACGAGTTTGCTGAACAATCAAGGCCATCTGTTGGAGAGACACAACTGGAAGAGAGGAATGCGCCGGTAACTACACTCGCTGAGCGCAGGCGTCGCTACGGCTCGCAGATCGCGACTCTGTGCCGACAGCTCGCTGTTACACCGGGTGGCTGTGCTGCAGCAGTCTGGTTCCAAGAAGCCTTACCTGACGTAGCCTTCTAGCGGTGCGTGTGTGTGTGTGTGCGTGTACCTAGGGCAGCCGTTGAAACAGCGGGCCCGAGAACGTGAGCAGATCGCTCCAATCGCACGTAACGTATTTCGCACGCGCGACGCACCGCTTAGAAGAAGACACGCGTGTGGGATCCGCCTGTGTCTCCTAGGTGGGTGGAGGCCCTGCAGGAGGAGTTCCTGTAGCTAACGCCGGCACCACCACCCGCGCCGCAGCCACCGCCCGGGGCTCCGCCCTCGCCGCCGTCTCTACGGCCACCGGCGCGTTCCTCGCCGCCGCGACCAGGGGGCTCTCGCAGGCCTGCGATCGTTTTTGACGGTTTTGATTTAACGCGCGCGCGTTTAAAGACCTGCCCCTGCCCTTGCGCCACGGCGGCCATCAAGAGGAGGGAGGTGTTGACGGCGCGCGATGTCAACGGCCCTGCGTTTGTCAATAAAGATTGTCGCAGAGCGCCGCGTGGGGACTCCGCTTTTGTTGAACGACGGCGTAGAGAGCGCCGCGGTTCTCAATCGCCCCCCCCCCCCCCAAGCACCACCGCCACCCCTGTCGACCAAACTTAGGCTGCAATACAGAGAGAGAACACGTGCATACACAGTCGTCAACACGTGTTAGTGAGGCATCTGTTTTACATTGTGTGCGAGTGTGATTTGTGTTAGACAGGCATCTGTTTTACATTGTGTGTGCGTGTGATTTGTGTTAGTAAGGCACAACAAACTAAACACAAAAAGCAGTTAAATTTCGATTTAAAGCTTTCGTGACTGCAATGATTCATCTTCTTTGGTTCTTTCGGTAAAGTCACGTTAGAATGAGAATAAATAATAAATTAATAAAATAAAATAACACAATAATATTCTCACGACGTTTCGGCCACAACACAAGCGGCCTTCATCAGGTGAAGGGGACAAGACTGTCTGGAGGACAGCGCTGGAGTGAGAGTGAGAAAGTCACTCCAGCGCTGTCCTCCAGACAGTCTCGTCCCCTTCACCTGATGAAGGCCGCTTGTGTTGTGGCCGAAACGTCGTGAGAATATTATTGTGTTATTTTATCAATTTATTATTTTATTCTCATTCTACGTGACTTTACCGAAAGAACCACAGAAGACAAAAAACTGTTTTAATGAAATGTGAAACTCAATTTTTCTTCACCTGTCTTCTGTGTGTTCTTGCTGCGAGAGTGACCTGGGGTGCCAAAAGCAACGACAACAAAAAAGAAACATAAAAGCTAAGCACAGCTGTGAAGCAAATGTAAACCGGTGCAAAACAAACAAATTAAACTAAACTACCATACATAGCAGGTGTTACCAAAAAGATTTTCAAAATCTTAAACAAACACAAGATCCAGGTCCGATTCAATACATTACACAGAATCCGTGATCTAATCCCATCTGTGAAGGAGGTCATCCCTGACATGCAATACCCTGGAGTCTACAAACCAAGTTGCACCTGTGGTGATTGTTACATTGGGGAAACGAAACGACACGTCTCGGACCGTGTAAGCGAACACAAGGCAGATCTGAAACACGGCAGAACTAATACCTCTGCCGTAGCTGACCATTGCTATAACGCTGTGGGCTCTCATGATATTGTTTTCCGAGACCAAGCTGCTCTGCAAACCTTCGGGCAACTATCAAAGGTTTGTTCATGAAGCCATCCAGATATATAAACATCGACATAACTTCAAGCGAGAAGATGGATACAAATTTAACAATCGTTGGAAGGATGTTATTAACCAGGTAATGCCTTAACTGGTTGTGGTCGTTTCCATCCTACCTGCCGTTTACTAGTAGATATTTATCCCCCCCCCCCGTGTCCCACACTCAGCTTCCCACTTCTAGCCCCGCCCACTCCCCCCCCCAGCCTCACGTCTTCTTCCCCAAGCACTCACACAGCCCCACCCCCCTCTCTCCCCCCTTGCCCCTCCCCCCTCTCTGACCTATATAACCTCTTGCCACGGCAGCTCTCCCGCCGACTTCAGCATTTTCTTGCTGTGGTTGTTCCACCTGATGAGGATTGCTTGTGCTGCGATCGAAACGTCGTGATTTGTTTTATTTTATTTCTACCTACGTGACTTTACCGAAAGAACCAAAGAGTATGAACTACAGTAGATGATTGCTTATTCGGGGTCGAGGGGGCGCCGGATTTTCAAGAACTAATCGTTATTTAAAATAGTTTTTTTGCACATGCGTACATGACGTTATTCTTTAAGGTTTTGTTATGCGTTTGTGTGTTTTCAATGTTTATGCAATTAGCAGAAATGAACATACAAATAGTCCAAAACAAATATGCTACTTTAAAAAAGTTACTTTATTTACTGTACCGCACTTACCACTCCAATCTCGAAGACTCTGCATGGGGTGATGTATGTGGCGCAGTAGTTTCATTAAGTTGCATGTAGTTTATAATGTACTGTATACAATATTTAACACTGAAATCAAGCCGAGAACGACTCCTTTTGTCACGCACGCGGCGCCTACTGCCGGACTCGTTTTGGCCTTTGGAGCGGTTTTGCCGGTTTCGTTTGATCGGCCCGGGACCGCTGGATAATGTTGGAAGCCAGATCATAGCTCGCCAGATAAACTTTAGCAGGTAAAGCCCACTGAGCTATATAGCTATGTTTCAGAAGCCCACCAGGCCACAATTGATAGCTCAACGAAGTGGCTTTTAATCGTGTCTAAATTAAAAGCAGCTAAACGCGTGCCGTTGAGTCTAAATGTGAAGGGGGGGAAAACCGGTGGACCCGGAGAGAAATCCACGTGACTACGGGGAGAGAGAGACACGTAAACTGCAAATATACATCGGGCGTCAGGGTTGGGATCAACCCGACGATGGCTGTATACGACACGAGGTATTAAACGTCAGAATAAGAATATTTATACTGGAGGAATCCGATGAGCTATAAAGCTATTTTCACAGATGTCCAGTAGGAGGCACTGTGGCGCCCCATGTGGAAAATGGAGTAATAAATAAAATAGACATCGGAGCATAGCAAACGCGTTACAGAAGAAATCGTAAGTACTCTCTCGTTTCAGTTTCATTTATTAGGTATAACCCTGTGGACCATGCGGCTCTTGACTCGGGTGCAACCGCAACAAAACAAAAACACGAACAAGAAACATCTCAAAGTGACTACGTGCAACAGAAAAATCCAGGAAAAAAACAGCAAAGTCTTCCAGAAAAAAACACCGCATTTCAACGCTGTGTGCAAAAATCCCAGTGGGATGCAAGTCAAACAATAACAACCATAAGACAATTTAGATTAAAGTTATCAGGCTAACTCTCGTGGTCTGTCTCGTCCACTGGCACGCAGCCACATGGCTCAGCGGTGGAGCGAGCGGCTCGCAATGGGAAGGCTGTAAGTTCAAACTTGCACAATCATTTCTCCGGGGTCACAAAAATAGGGACTCTGTGAGCACGACAACAGTGGTCGTCCTCTCTATAGAATCGACGCCAACGGGAAATGAGCCAATGCCATCAGTGCTCATTTGAAGAGTAAATCACTGTCGAGTGACATCAGCAAAATAAACATTCGCCATTCCCAGAAGTCCGTGGGGGGCCCGATAGCTCTGTTTGTTTGTGTACGGTGGGGACCTTTTTTTGTGTAGTAGGCGGATTGCGTGCCTGTTCTGGCATCACGCGGGGCGGCGCGGTGTTTGCTCGGGGGTGGTTGGTCGGTTCACTCCCGCCGTTGATTCACACTCGGCGCGCACCCAGCCCGGGTTAATCATTGCCCCGGGGGCGGGGGACTCGAGAGGTCTCTGGCGAGATTCCCGCTGGCCATTTGCGTCTGAGACGGTGACGGCGAGAGGAGGACGATGGGGACCCGGGCTCTCACCTGGCTTCTGTGCGCGGCCGTTCTGCTCACCTGCGCGACCGCCCTCAAGAGGCGTCTTGACAGCTCGAGGAGGGAGGGCTGCTCGGGAGGTGGCGGAGGTGGGTCCGGGCGGGTTCGGAGTGCGGGGTGGGACTGGCCCACAGTGCTCTCTTATTAAAGTTCCTGCAACCTTTCAGCGCGTCGGCTGTGCAGCTGCACCGGATGGGGTCCAGGCGCCGGTGCTGCTGAGAGAGCGGGCACGTTGTATGCGTGTTGAACTTCTTTCGCACCGTACGTAGCCAACCACAGGCCCGCAGGTCCCTCGCTCTGGGGCGGCGGGGGTGGGGGTTACGGCCACGTGGACGGGTGGATGTCTGCTGATGATGATGAACCCACAGCGGGACTGGCTACATGACGCCACGGGCTTCGTAGATTCAGGCGACTTCTCGGCCAAGCCGCTCGTTGCGCACGCTGATGAACTCATCGTCAACAAAAGGCGCCGATCGCCGTGGTTACTAAACGAGGGTCTATATTAATATAGTGGTGAGTGGTGGTGAGAGGTGGTAGTACTAAGTGGTGGTGGTGAGTGGTAGTGGTGACGGTGAGTGGTGGTGGTGAGTGCACGCGTGGTTGTGCGGGTGGGTGAGGGTAGGTGACTCGCCACTAGAGCGAGCGGTTTGCAATCGGAAGGTTGTGAAGTCAAATCCCGGTTGGAGCTTCACTCAGCCCATCATCCTTCCCTTGGCCAATAAAATAAACACCACTACGTGGGAAAGACAACCGTAGTTGCCCCGTGGTTAGATTCGCCCGCACAATGGAAATGTGGAGCGTCCACCACTGGCTTGCCACGAATGAACCCCAATGCCTCGCTGATCTCAAGGAGCATGAACCATCATCACGCGATCTCCGGTCATCCTCGCAGCAATCGGATGTTGGCTTAGCCATCGATCACAGACGGTGGCGGTCACCGCATCGCGCGGCGCTTTCAGATGCGCTTCTGTGGCCGTCTGGAACGCCTCTTCCTCCCGATCTCAGGAAGCCGCTGGGAGCATTGCACTTTTAAATCATCATCTAGATTGACAAACGAATTTATTTACAAACGCTTGTTGAGTTTAGTTTATTACGGTTGGCTACATAACGGTGCGACACAAGTTCAGCGTGCACACACACAGAGACTGTACACAATTCCCGGCTTACGTGTCTCTCTCTCCAGATGCGGAGACGCTGCGAAACGTGGAGGAGAAGGTGACAGCTCTCTGGGTGAGAGTCACACACTCACCCAGGCGGGAGTTACGGGCGGCTCTGTGCCAAGGGACTACAACATTGGTTTGATTGTCGCCACCGTGGTATATATCGCCTGGCAGGGGAGGTCAACAACATACTCGTGAGTGAGAATCTTTCTTTGGGCTGGACATCACTCTCTGAATCTCGACGCTAGTATTTGTTTCGTTTTCTGAAGGTCCCTGCTCTGTTGGGATGTTTAGCCAATGCGTGCCACGAATGATAACGTGTCTCCAGGACCTGGAGAAACCCCACATAACGCGTACGAGGGGCAGACTGTTAAAGCAGCTCACGGATGTATTTTTGAGAATCTTTCTGTCGCGAACATCGCCTGGCTGCAGCTCACGACAGGACTATCCGGGCAGACAGCGGCTTAGCTTCAGGGATCTCACAAGACTTAAACATTCAGGGTGATGTGATTCCCCTGAGATTCTCGTGTAAATCCCATGTGATCCCCTTGTGATTCCCATGTGATTCCTTGTCATTCCGTTGTGATTCCTTGTCATTCCGGTGTGATTCCCCTGCGATTCCCGTGCAATTCTCTTGGGATTCCTTTGTGATTCCCCTATGATTCCCTTGTGATTCCTTTGTAATTCTCTTTTGATTCCCATGTACTTCCCTTGTTATTCCCGTGCGTTTCCCATGTGATTCCCGTGATTCCAATATGATTCCCCTGTGATTCCCGTATGATTCTCCTGCGATTATCTTGTGATTCCCTTGTGATTCCCATGTGGTTCCCGTGTGATTCCCCTGTGATTCCTCTGCGAATCCCTTCTGATTTCTGAATGGTTCATGTGTGATTCCCTTGTGATGCCCGTGTGATTCCTTTGTGATTCCCTTGTGATTCTTCTGTGATTCCTTGTGATTCCTTTGTAATTCCCGTGCGATTCCTCTGTGATTTCCATGTGATTTCCATGTGATTACCTTGTGATTGCCCTGTAATTCCCGTGCGATTCCCGTGCAATTCCTGTGAATTGCATGCGATTCCCTTGTGATTCTCATGTGATTCCCGTGTGATTTTCGTGAAATTTTTGTGTGATTCCCATGTGATTCCCCTGTGATTTCCTTGTGATTCCCATGTGATTTCAATGTGATTCCCTTGTGATTCCCATGCGATTCCAATGTGATTCCCGCGTGATTTCCATGGGATTCCCCGTGTGATTCCCCGTGTGATTCCCATGTGATCCCCCGTATGACGATTCCCCCAGAGGAGTCTGTTGCACCCTGACGTGCGCGGGGAGCCGCTCCGTGCAGCCTGCGCCATGGGGCCCAACCGGGCGCAGCCTGCGGACTCGCAGATCCCCGTACGAGGAGTGGTGCTCTTCCACCAGAAGGTTCGCTCGCTTGCGCTCCCGATACCCACCCGATACCCTCCCGAGCACCTCTCAGACAGGATCCCCTATTGGGTGGGTTGACTCGTTCCATCATCCCTCTGGGCGTTTGTAAAAAAAAAAAAAACTTGCCCCTGCCATAGTAATGTGGAATTTCCACCGCCACTGGGCTCGGCGTTGTAAGCACGAGATGAGCAACAACCTCCGATGCTCATTTCAGTAGGAACTCACTCTGACCTTTGACCTGTGTGTTGAGTCAGTCGACCCATGGCACCTAGGTTTGTCCCGTGACCTCCTGCGAGCGGGCGTTCGACACTCTGCTTGGCCTTAACGTGCACCGCCACTTAGTGGCATATGACGATTGTTGTTGTTGTGATGTGTGGGGGGAGCAGTGGTGTAGTGGTTAGCGCGCTGCGCTATGAATTCGGCAACTCGATTGTTAATCCTACTCACGGCTAACATCAGTGACGGACATTTAAACCAGTCCTGGGCCTCCCCTAGAGTGGCCTAACCTCAATTGAGTACCCGGTTGCGATGTGCAAATATCATCACTGGGGAGATAAGGGAGGACGTGGGTGGTCCTGGCCACACCATCCCCCCTCGCGTATGATGTCTGCAAGAGGTTCGTGTGCTCTGCGTGTGCTGTGTACGTGTACTCTGCGCGTGTGCTGTGCGTATGTGCTGTGTGTGTGTGCTGTGTGTGTGTGCTGTGTGTGTGCTGTATGTGTGTGCTGTGTGTGTGTGTTGTGTGTGTGTGCTGTATGTGTGTGCTGTATGTGTGTGCTGTGTGTGTGTGTGATGTATGTGTGTGCTGTGTGTGTGTGCTGTATGTGTGTGCCGTGTGTGTGTGTGTGCTGTATGTGTGTGCTGTATGTGTGTGCTGTGTGTGTGTGCTGTGTGTGTGTGCTGTATGTGTGTACCGTGTGCTGTATGTTTGTGCTGTATGTGTGTGCTGTGTGTGTGTGCTGTGTGTGTGTGCTGTATGTGTGTGTGCTGTGTGTGTGTGCTGTATGTGTGTGCTGTGTGTGTGTGCTGTATGTGTGTGCTGTTTGTGTGTACCGTGTGCTGTATGTGTGTGCTGTATGTGTGTACCGCATGCGTGCTGTGTGTGTGCTGTGTGTGTGTGCTATATGTGTGTGCTGTATGTGTGTACCGTGTGCTGTATGTGTGTGCTGTGTGTGTGCTGTGTGTGTGTGCTGTGTGTGCTGTATGTGTGTGTGCTGTGTGTGTGTATCGTGTGCTGTATGTGTGTGCTGTATGTGTGTGCTGTGTGTGTATGTGCTGTATGTGTGTGCTGTGTGTGTGTGCTGTGTGTGTGCTGTGTGTGTGTGTGCTGTGTGTGTGCTGTATGTGTGTGCTGTATGTGTGTACCGTGTGCTGTATGTGTGTGCTGTATGTGTGTGCTGTGTGTGTGTGTGCTGTGTGTGTGCTGTATGTGTGTGCTGTGTGTGTGTGCTGTGTGTGTGTGCTGTGTGTGTGTGCTGTGTGTGTATGCTGTGTGTGTGCTGTGTGTGTGCTGTGTGTGTGTGTGCTGTATGTGTGTGCTGTATGTGTGTGCTGTGTGTGCTGTGTGTGTGTGCTGTATGTGTATGCTGTGTGTGTGCTGTGTGTGTGCTGTGTGTGTGTGCTGTATGTGTGTGCTGTATGTGTGTACCGTGTGCTGTGTCTGTGGCACCGCGCGTGGCCCAGTCGGCGCTGGAGCCCCTAGAGATGGCGCTGCGCCTGGAGGGCTTCCCGCGCGAGCGGCGCTTGCACGGCATCCACGTCCACGCACACGGCGAGATCGCGCCGGGCTGCGAGGCCGCGGGGCCCCACTTCAACCCCCACGAGGCCCACCACGGAAGGTGAGGGCGGGGGGGCAGCACCGGCACCGACGCGCCCGACGGGGGCGACATTCACTCGGGAAAGCAACTTTCATCTTGAAGGCAACGCTCGCCACGGTGAGCGGGTCGGCGGCGGCAGCTGCCGGCGCCGCCGACTGGCGAGGTGTTAACTACGTCGCCCGGTCCCCACCCTCCTCTCCCCCCCAACCCACCCACCAGCCACCCCGGGGACTTTGGGAACTTCCAGCCGGACGCGCAGGGCCGCGTGCAGCAGCTCATGCCCCGCCTGCACGCCACGCTCTACGGGCCCGACTCCATCGTGGGCCGCTCCATCGTGGTCAGGGCAACACCCGGCCGGAGGGGTCTCGTAGACGCGGGGGTCGCGGTGTGGGGGAGGGTTGGGGGGGGGAGTGGCGGGATGCTCGTGGTGGGGCGGATCGGTGGGGTGTAGTGGTGGGGCAGAGGGGATCGGTGGGGGGGGAGGGGTGAGGGTAGATGTGGGGGGCACACCGTTTGTCAGAAGCTTTGCCCCTCCCGACCATCGCTCCCCCCCCCCACATCGCTCCACCCCCCCGCCCCGCATCGCCCCCCCCCCCCAACACCCCCCCACCATCGCCCCACGCGCTCTCCCCACCCAGGGCACTTCCCCATCGCTTCTCCCTCCGGTGTTGCCACGAGGAGTTCCCAGCCAGGATCTGTCTCGGAGCCCCAGAGCTGGGACAACAGCAATGAAGCGGAGCGAGCAAGTCCAAAATCCCCAAAATGGCACGATGCTCGCGATTGGTAAAGTTGGTAAAGTTGGACCCGTGTCGCGGCGCAGGTGCACGAGGGCGAGGACGACCTGGGCCGCGGGGAGGACGAGGGCAGCCGTCTCCATGGCAACGCGGGGAGGCGCATCGCCTGCTGCGTCATCGGCATGGCGAGCGGCGCCACGTGGGAGCAGCACAGCCGCCCCTAGCGCTCACCTCGCTCACCACTCGTCCACTCACCACTCGTCCACTCGTCCACTCACCACTCGTCCACTCACCATACACATCTAGCACTCACCGCACTCACCACTCGTTCACTCACCACTCGTCCACTCACCACTCGTCCACTCACCATGCACATCTAGCACTCACCTTGCTCACCACTCGTCCACTCACCACGCACATCTAGTACTCACCTCGCTCACCACTCGTCCACTCACCACTCGTCCACTCACCACTCGTCCACTCACCACACACATCTAGCACTCACCTCGCTCACCACTCGTCCACTCACCACTCGTCCACTCACCACGCACATCTAGTACTCACCTCGCTCACCACTCGTCCACTCACCACTCGTCCACTCACCACTCGTCCACTCACCACTTGTCCACTCACCACTCGTCCACTCACCACTCGTCCACTCACCACTCGTCCACTCACCACTCGGCCACTCACCACTCGGCCACTCACCACTCGTCCACTCACCACTCGGCCACTCACCATTCGGCCACTCACCACGCACATCTAGCACTTACCTCGCTCACCACTCGTCCACTCACCACTCGTCCACTCACCACTCGTCCACTCACCACTCGTCCACTCACCACTCGGCCACTCACCACTCGGCCACTCACCACTCGGCCACTCACCACTCGTCCACTCACCACACACATCTAGCACTCACCTCGCTCACCACTCGTCCACTCACCACTCGGCCACTCACCACGCACATCTAGCGCTCACTGCTCGTCCACTCACGACTCAGCCACTCATCACTACTCTCACCAACAACAATAATTAAGACGTAGCTCTTGCACTCACAGCACACACACAGCACACACACAGCGCACAAGGTACACACCCACACAGCACACGGAACAGTACACGTAGAAAACACAGCACACACACAAGACATACACAGCATACACACATAGTACACACACAGTACACACAGCACACACACGTCTGCCGATGGATGTTTAAATCTTGATTGATGTTGAGTGCATGGGAAGATGTTGAATGGAAACGGTCCTTTTAGTAAAATCGTCAACACAACTTCCTTTGCCTGCAGTGCCCTTCTGAACCCCGTTCATACCAGGTATGAGTCTATCCCAGGTGAGGGTGAGTCTATCCCAAGTGACTGTGAGTCTATCCCAGGTGAGAGTGAGTCTATCCCAGGTGAGTGTGAGTCTATCCCAGGTGAGGGTGAGTCTATCTCAGGTGAGTGTGAGTCTATCCCAGGTGAGAGTGAGTCTATCCCACGTGAGAGTGAGTCTATCCCACGTGAGAGTGAGTCTATCTCAGGTGAGTGTGAGTCTATCCCAGGTGAGAGTGAGTCTATCCCAGGTGAGAGTGAGTCTATCCCAGGTGAGAGTGAGTCTATCCCAGGTGAGAGTGAGTCTATCCCAGGTGAGAGTGAATCTATCCCAGGTGAGGGTGAGTCTATCCCAGGTGAGAGTGAGTCTATCCCAGGTGAGAGTGAGTCTATCCCAGGTGAGAGTGAGTCTATCCCAGGTGAGAGTGAGTCTATCCCAGGTGAGAGTGAATCTATCCCAGGTGAGGGTGAGTCTATCCCAGGTGAGAGTGTCTATCCCAGGTGAGAGTGAGTATATCCCAGGTGAGTGTGAGTCTATCCCAGGTGAGGGTGAGTCTATACCAGGTGAGAGTGAGTCTATCCCAGGTGAGAGTGAGTCTATCCCAGGTGAGAGTGAGTCTATCCCAGGTGAGTGTGAGTCTATCCCAGGTGAGGGTGAGTCTATCCCAGGTGAGAGTGAGTCTATCCCAGGTGAGAGTGAGTCTATCCCAGGTGAGGGTGAGTCTATCCCAGGTGAGGGTGAGTCTATCCCAGGTGAGAGTGAGTATCCCAGGTGAGAGTGAGTCTATCCCAGGTGAGAGTGAGTCTATCCCAGGTGAGAGTGTCTATCCCAGGTGAGGGTGAGTCTATCCCAGGTGAGGGTTAGTCTATCCCAGGTGAGAGTGTGTCAATCCCAGGTGAGAGTGAGTCTATCCCAGGTAAGAGTGAGTCTATCCCAGGTGAGAGTGAGTCTATCCCAGGTGACAGTGAGTCTATCCCACGTGAGAGTGAGTCTATCCCACGTGAGAGTGAGTCTATCTCAGGTGAGTGTGAGTCTATCCCAGGTGAGAGTGAGTCTATCCCAGGTGAGAGTGAGTCTATCCCAGGTGAGAGTGAGTCTATCCCAGGTGAGAGTGAGTCTATCCCAGGTGAGAGTGAGTCTATCCCAGGTGAGTGAGTGGCGTAGTGACTACACTATTATTGGCGTAGTAACTACATTATCAGTGGTGTAGTAACTACATTATCAGTGGTGTAGTAACTACATCATCAATGGTGTAGTAACTACATTATCAGTGGCGTAGTGACTACATTTCAGTGACAGTAACTACATTATCAGTGGTGTAGTAACTACATTATCAGTGACATAGTAACTACATTATCAGTGGTGTAGTAACTCCATTATCAGTGGTGTGGTAACTACATTATCAGTGACATAGTAACTACATTATCAGTGGTGTAGTAACTCCATTATCAGTGGCGTAGTAACTACATTATCAGTGACATAGTAACTACATTATCAGTGGTGTAGTAACTCCATTATCAGTGGTGTAGTAACTACATTATCGGTGACATAGTAACTACATTATCAGTGGTGTAGTAACTCCATTATCAGTGGCGTAGTAACTACATTATCAGTGGCGTAGTAACTACATTATCAGTGGCGTAGTAACTATATTATCAGTAGTGTAGGGACTACATTATCAGTGGCGTAGTGACTACATTATAAGAGGCATAGTAACTACAATATCAGTGGCGATGCAACTACATTATCAGTGGCGTAGTAACTACATTATCAGTGGCATAGTAACTACATTATCAGTGGCGTAGTGACTACATTTCAGTGACAGTAACTACATTATCAGTGGTGTAGTAACTACATTATCAGTGACATAGTAACTACATTATCAGTGGTGTAGTAACTCCATTATCAGTGGTGTGGTAACTACATTATCAGTGACATAGTAACTACATTATCAGTGGTGTAGTAACTACATTATCAGTGGCGTAGTAACTACATTATCAGTGACATAGTAACTACATTATCAGTGGTGTAGTAACTACATTATCAGTGGTGTAGTAACTACATTATCAGTGGCGTAGTGACTTCACTATTATTGGTGTAGTGACTACATTATCAGTGGCGATGCAACTACATTATCAGTGACATAGTGACTTCATTATGAGTGGTGTAGCGACTACAATATCAGTTGCGTAGTACCTACATTATCAGTGGCATAGCAGCTACATTGTCAGCTCAAGGGGTACTCAATATGTCAGGTGGGGCCCCAATTTTGTTGAAAACAAATCTCATGGTGGTTGTCAAAGGAGGCCTCAACACGTAGCTTTGGCCACGGGGTGGGGGTAGGTGGCTGGCATCCCCTGCCTACCCCCACGCTTAACACGCCACAGCTCCTTGAGTCGTCTCACCGTGAGCTGGCGATCGCTTGGTGGTGGGGGCGGTGGGGAAGGGATCAACCGAGTGGTGCGTCATCAACAACAAAAAAAACAATACCATGTTTTATGAAACAACATGAACATTTATTCCTCTGTGTAGTAGACAAAGGGCACATTTACATTTAAACGTCGCTAAGCACAGCAGCTCCGAACACGCGGAGCGAGCGAAGCTTCACGAGGTCACCCACCGCCCAGTTTGACCCGAGAAGACATCGCCACCGACCCGGCGCGGCAGGGGTCCACGGTCGATTTCAACTCTCAACCACGTGGCCTTGTGAAGACGTCGAAACAGGGCAGTGACCACGGGAGCGCGTTTGCTGATTGCGCTCTTGGCTACGAGACCGCAGATTTCTCACGGGGACCTCGCGGAAGTCGGGGGGGGGGGGGGGTGCGGGGGGGCGGGCGCCGAGGGGGAGGGGGTTGGGGGATCGCGCGCGGGACGCCAAAGGGGGTTGGTGGTGCTCTGAGAGTAGCGACACGGCACCTGCGATCTTTGACTGCACCAGGTGACCAGAGAAAGACAGGGAGGGTCTGGGTCAGCTGTCCAGCTCTCTGGGCGGGTGGTGGTGGTATTGGCTCTCGCCTGCCGCAGCTGCCCCTCCTGCTGCAGGGCAGCGCGGACGAGGTGACGGTGTTGTCCAGACGCGGCAGAGCGCGAGGTCCCCAGGCTCCGCGAAGCTCACTCCACCTCCTTCATGAACTCGATGAACTCTGAAAGCAGCGGTAGCAGCAGCAGCAGCGCGGTGAGAGGAGGATTCCTTCACAATTCTGGTGCTGTCACCTGATGGTTATTGTAATTACCGGCGAAACATCATGGTCCTTGAATTGTAAATGCTGTAGTGGGTTTACTCTGCAAAACACAACCGCTGTGTGCTGAACTGGTAATGAATCAGCCACCTTTTGTTTAAGTGACGAACCTTACAAATTGGCTGCGTCGGGTGGGGGCGGGTTTAACGACACATTTATATTTATGCGATCTAACCTAACAAAACCCCTTCATTATGGATAATATTGGTCGCAACAGCCCTACTGCTGCTATTACTACTACTGGGTGCTAAACTGGGAAGTGGATGCGTGCGTCGCGGCTTGCTTGAGGAGTTTGTTGTTTGGGTTCATCCCCGTGGATAGGAGCCGGGAATGGAGCCGGGAATAGAGCCGGGAATGGAGCCGGGAATTAAGCTGGGGATAGAGCTGGGAATGGAGCCGGGAATGGAGCCGGAAATGGAGCCGGAAATGGAGCCAGGTTGAAACTTGGATTGGAGCCGGGTTGGAGCCGAGATTGGAGCTGGGTTGGACTCGGGAATGGATCCGGGAATGGAGCCGGGAATAAAGCCAAGAATGGAGCCGGGTTGGAGCTGGGTTGGAGTCGGGAATGGACCCGGGAATGGAGCCGGGAATGGAGTTGGGAATGGAGCTGGGAATGGGGCTGGGAATGGAGCTGGGAATGGAGTTCGGAATGGAGCTGGGAATGGAGCTGGGGATGGAGTTGCAAATGGAGCTGGGAATGGAGCTGGGGATGGAGTTGCAAATGGAGCTGGGAATGGAGCTGAACATGGAGCCGGGAATGGAGCCGGGAATGGAGTTGGGAATGGAGCTGGGAATGGAGCCGGGAATGGAGCCGGGAATGGAGTTGGGAATGGAGTTGGGAATGGAGCTGGGAATGGAGCCGGGAATGGAGTTGGGAATGGAGCTGAAAATGGAGTTGGGAATGGAGCCGGAATTGGAGCCGGGTTGGAGCCGGGATAAGAGCTGGGAATGGAGCCAGGATTGGAGCCGGGATTGGAGCCGGGTTGGGGCTGGGTTGGAGCCGAGAATGGAGCTGAGAATGGGGCTGGGATTGGAGACGTGATTGGAGCCGGGTTGGAGCCCGGGATTAAAGCTGGGAATGGAGCTGGGAATGGAGCCGGGAATGGAGCTGGGAATGGAGTTGGGAATGGAGCTGGGAATGGAGCCAGGATTTTAGCCAGGATTGGAGCCGGGATTGGAGCCGGGTTGGAGTCGGGACTAGAGCTGGGAATGGAGCTGGGAATGGAACCGGGAATCGAGCCAGAATTGGAGCTGGGATTGGAGCCGGGATTGGAGCTGGGAATGGAGCCAGGAATGGAGCTGGGAATGGAACTGGAAATGGAGCCGGGATTGGAGCCAGGTTGTAGTCAGGTTGGAATTGGGATTAGAGCTGGGAATGGAGCTGGGAATGGAGCCGGGAATGGAGCCGGGAATGGAACTGGGAATGGAGGCGCGAATGGAGCTGGCTTGGAGCTAGGAATGGACCCGGGATTGGGGCCAGGAATTGAGTTTGGAATGGAGCTGGCTTGGAGCCGGGAATGCAGCCCCGATTGGAGCCAGGATTAGAACCAGGAATGGAGCTGGGAATGGAGCCAGAGTTGGAGCCGGGTTGGAGCCGGGAATGGAGCACGGGATTGGAGCCGGGTTGGAGCTGGGTTGGAGCCGGCAATGGAGCCGGGATTGGAACCGAGATTGGAGCTGGGATTGGAGCCAGGTTGAATTCGGGATTGGAGCCGGGAATGGGGCCAGGATTGGAGCCAGGTTGAAGCCGAAATTGGAGCCGGGAATGGGGCCAGGATTGGAGCCAGGTTGAAGCCGGGATTGGAGCCGGGAATGGGGCCAGGATTGGAGCCGGAACTGCTGGAGAATGCCAGTCAGTCTCATCCCGCCCGTTACCATGGTCATCACCACTGTTTAACCACGAGAGACCCGCTGAGTCTTACGCCTCCTAGTTTAGTTTTTTTCAGGAAATCCCTTCCAACTGTTTGCAGCAGAGGGGGGTGGGGGTTGGGGGCGGTGGGGGTTCGACTTCCACGATCTTCAAGTGAATTGTGAGGTTGATCAACTTGTCCATGACGCCGGCACGTGATGGCCTCTTCCTCAAAATGTACCTCATTGGATCTTGATGAAGTCCACCACCGTAAAGCAGACGGAGTGTCGTGGTGTATATTTTAGGCTGAACGGGCGCCGTAATGTTAACTGGGGGGGGGGGGGGGGGGGGGGGGGCGGCCTTCATGCCTCCAAATCCCTGAGCCTCTGCAAATGAGAGGCGGTTTGCTCTGCCCACAGGGCCATGGCACTGCCCTTCTTTAAGAGGCGTTCTCGAGCACAGAGAGTTTTTGGTCTCAGCCTTGGCCACCAATGGCTTACATAAAAACCCACAACATCAACAACAACCGCCATTCACTAATAAGTGGTGGTGACGTTACCATGGCGCTTTCTGCCATCCTAGGTGCACTTTGAGGCCACGTGAAGCGTCTAAGTTGCGCTGGCAGGAGGTCATGGAACAGACCCAGATGCTTTGGATTGGCTGACCAATATGACTGGCCGATGCACCAACTGTGCTCCCCCCACTGTGCCAACTCTCTGCGTTTTAGGCGCCCGGCGGTGCTTCGCTCGTTGTTGTGGGCGTCGCTCCTCTGCCCTCCTCCGTTGTTGCTGCCTCCAAACTCCCCTGCAGCGTCTTTCACTAATCCTCATCCACAGAGGCCGATCTTGACACTGCTGGCACCGGTCATCGGCAAGTCAACTCAGCTCCACAATCTCCTGTAGTACATCGGCTCCCATATCTACCAAAGCTACAGACTTCCTGAACGAAACTCTCAATTCGTTTCTCCGGCATTGTGAGGTCATGGCCATATCTTGGCGAGGGGTCGAGACGGCTATAAGGGATCCCCACGTGAGATTCAGCCCCTGACTGTTGAGCGCACCGGGGGACGAGCGGGGGGGGGGGGTTGAGAGGGGGTCAGGTGGGGTGTTCACTGTTTAAGAGGCACGGTTCTGTACGCAAAGTGGAGGGTGTCAGTGCACGGTGCGAGGTGGCCTCCTCCTGCAGCCAGCTACCGTCGTAGTCGATCCGCCCATCCTTGTTCTTGTCTCCATCGTTCATGAGCGCCTGCACGTCCTCCTCGCCCACCTTCTCCCCCGTCTGCTCCAGCATCCCCTTGAGCTCCTCCAGGTCAATGTACCCGTCCGAGTTCCTGCGGGGTCGCGAGCCAGGGTCACGGTTCACGCCTTCATACGCGAGGGTGAGCGTGAGACCCAGTCTCGGTGCAAGAATTCCTTCCGTGTGGAATGATTTATATAGTTATCACAGTCGTCATCATCACGGTTACGGTCCTAATCATCATCACCACAAAGGCCAACATACCGAGCACCAGCGCACTTACCCACGTTATTACCATAACCAACCATCACAACAGCCACCACCACAACCACCACCATAAATACCACGAACGCCAAAACCATGATCACCATAACTACTACCACCACCACAAACACGATCACCACCATAACCACGATCACCACCACAACCACGATCACCACAATCACCATCACCACAATCACGATCACCACAACCACGATCACTACCACCAAAACCACGATCGCCACCACCACAATCACGATCACCATCACCACAATCACGATCACCATCACCACAATCACGATCACCACCACCACAACCACGATCGCCACCACAACCACGGTCGCTCCCACCACCGCCACAACCACGATCGCCTCCACCGCAACGATCACAATCACCACCGCCACAACCACGATCACCACCACCACAACCACGATCGCCACTACCGCCGCAGCCGCCGCGTGCGTGCGTGCCGCTGCTGTGCCCATCACCTGTCGAACATGCGGAAGAGGTCGCTGAGCTCTTCCTCGGACTTTCCCTTCCCCTCCTCCTTCATGCACCTCACCATCATCTCCAGGAACTCCTCAAAGCCGATGGTGCCCGTGCCTGGGAGCACGCGGGGCGCACGCCCGATCTCAGTGTGCGGGGGTGCACGCGTGCGTGTGCGTGTGTGTTTGTGTACACGCGTGCACCTGTGTTTGTGTGTACGAGTGTGTGTCTGTGTGTGTGAGTGTGTGTGTCTATGTTTGCGTGTACGTGTGTGTGCGTACGTGTGTGTCTGTATTTGTGTGTGTGTTAGAAACATTTAGGCTAGCCTGCCTACGATCCATCCTGGGTTTAACCAGGCTGGATTGTGTGAGGAGCTCACAAATCCTTGAAAGATCTGGGCAAGGTCCCATCGGTGAGCTCCTCCGGCAGGCAAGGCTGCGTTGGCTGGGTCATGTAGCCCGCATGCCCAGCCACCGAATGCCGAAACAGCTTTTGTTCGGCCGGATCGAGGGGGCTAAACGGGCGCGGCACGGGCTAGAGAAGAGATGGAGTGATGTGGTACAGAAGGACGTGAAGCTGAGTGGACTTGCCGATGACTTGTACCAGCGGTGTCAAGATCGGCCTCTGTGGAGGAGGCTCGTGAAGGACGCTATTGGGCAGTTGGAGGATATCGCCCTCCAACAACAATGGAGGACGAAGGAGCGACACTCACAACAACGAGCGGAGCGCCGGGTGGCTAAAGCACAGCAGGTTGGCACAGTAGGGGACACAGGTGGTGCATCAGCCAGTCATCTCAGTCGACCCGTGGCACCTGGGTCTGCCCCGTGACCTCCTGCCAGCGGGAGTTCGACACTTCACGTGGCCTCAAGGTGCACATGGCCTGGCACAAGCGTCGTGGTGACGTCACCGCCACTTAGTGGAGAATGGCGTTTGTTGTTGTTGTTGTGTGTGTGTTTGGTCCAGCAAAACAACCCCCTACCTCCTCGTTGGTGCCGGATGGTAACGCTGTGGTGAGCAGTACCATGGAGGGAGGGCCAATTTCGATTTGTCATTCCCCACATGGGGTTCGTCGCCACCACAGCGGCCACAGGGAGCTCTGGGCGGGTGCGAGGGGCTGGTAAACCCCCCACCTTCAACTAATTACCACTTAACCACGAAAATAATATCCAACTAAGATTGTGCCAGAGGCCCCGGGGGGACAGGAGTCTTTGACGTATCCTGGCCAAACCCTATTTGCTGGAGCCTGGAGATTGAATCCTTACCCTTGGGGTTCCTCCAGAAAAAGAAAAAAGCCACTGCGGGTGGCCACGTGGAATGTTCGAATGCTCACTGCGGAGGAGAGGCTGCCACTCCTCTGCCGGGAGCTGCACCGGTACCGCCTGGATCTCTGTGGCATTCAGGAGGTCCGGTGGGCCGGCTCTGGCTCCTGCCACCATGAGGGGTGGACAGTCCTCTACTCGCGGCAAGAGACTGCCAAACAACAGGGAGTGGCTCTTCTTCTGAACAAAATAATGAAGGGGGGTGGGAGTGTGGCAGTGAGGTGTGGGAAGCTGTAAGCCCCAGGCAATGTTGGGCTGACCTTCCCATCAACCAGAGATGAGGAGTGGTGGTCATGGATACTTATGCCTCCACCGAAGATGAACATCAGTGGAGGGATGCAGGCAAGGCTGATGACTCAGATGCCTTCTATGTCCTCCTGTCACAGGTGTTTGCTAAGTGGCCCCTTAGGATAGAGTCATTTAGTTTGGTGACTTCAATGCCCGAGTTGGTCATGATGCTGGCACCTGGTCTGGAGTGATTGGAAGACATAGGCCAAATCAGCTCAATAATAATGGTCAGAGGCTGCTAGACTTTTGTGGAGCCCATGGGCTTGTAATTACTAACACGCTGTTCTGGCATCGGTGCATCTACACAACACCATGGATGCACACCGGGTCCAAGCAAGAACATCTGCTGGACTATATAGTTACGGAACAGCGGGTGTGGGCCCATTTCCTTGACACTAGAACCTAACGTGGAGCTTATCTGCCCTCTGACCATCGATTTGTCATCTATAAGATGTGCCTGCCATTTTTCCACTCCGGTGGTTGGTGTACCACCCAGGAACCCATTCAATCCACAGTGGCCTGGTCTCAGCTAGCTGATGAAATTTATAAGCGAGAATTTCATCATCGCTTGCAGCTGGGGTTGACATCGTCCCCTACTCCTGATGCCGAGGGGAAATGGGCGAGGTTTAAGACTGTGGCTCATGCAGATGCAATGGCTTTGTTGGCTACACGGTCCAAACCTCCCCAGAGACCCTGGCTGACAGAGAAGGTGTTCATGCTGGCTGAGAAAAAGCGACATGCTCACTCTCAGCTTCCACAGCATCCCACATCAGAGAATGAAGAGGCTTACTGCAGCCTTCGCTCGGAGGTTCGGAGAGCCGTGAGGTTGCTGAGGAGATGGAATCTGCCTCAGTGGCCCGCGATCACAAATCACTATTTGATGCCATCAAAAAAGGTAACTTGCAACGCCACACCTATCACTATCATGAGGGGAAAGAACGGTGATCCAATCTCCGACCCCCAGGAACAAGTTTGCAGATTTTTTTGCATTTCTGTAAGGTCTTGGGGGAGGGGAAATCCCTCAGCCTGGAAAACACCATAGGGAAAAGTGGGGATGACCTGCTGAGGCTGCCGTGCCTCAAATATTGGAAGAAGTAGTCACCCCCTGTGAGTGGCTGTTTTATGTGCCATCTGTTGAGGAAGTACTGAAGGTAATCGAGAGTCTGAGACCAGGCAGAGATGATCTCCCAAGCGAAATGCTGATGGGGGGTGGCGTTTTTTCACAGACTACCCTACATGACATATTAACATTCTGGACCACTGGACAGGTTCTGCAGGATTGCAAGGATGCCCCGGTAGTCGCCCTCTTTAAGAAGGGGGACCGCACAGATTCTCAAAACTACAGGGGCATTTTACTCCTCAGTGTGCTGGGAAAGGTCCTGGCAAGGATTATATTCAACATTGCCTTGCCAGGTACACTGAGGAGAAGCTTGCAGAGCCCCAATGTGGTTTCAGGAAAGGGTGGTCCTGCACAGACGCCATATTTTCTGTCCGTCTGCTACAGCGAAGGTGTAGGGAATTGCAACAAGACCTACATCTCTGCTTTATTGACCTGGCCACGGCCAATAATACCATCAGTTGACCTGATCTCCGGGTTGTTATTCGTGCTTTCGGAGTCCCTGGCTCTCTGCTCACAATCATTAAGGACCTTCATGATGGTGAGCGGGCCCGGATAAAACTACATGGCCGGGAGTCAGAGCCATTCCCTATTCACCTTGGGATCTATTTTGACCACGTATATGGTGAAGCCTTCGATGGCTGTACCCGAGGATTTTCAATCTGGTACCGATACAATGGGAGGCTGATCGATGCCCGGGTGTGGTCAAGGTATGGCTCCTTATTGGTCAACCATGTTATATATGTCGATAATCTGGTAATTGCTGCTCACTCAAAGGAGGAAATAGAAGCCATGCTGCTGAACCTGGAGCGTACCACGAAGAGGTGGGGCCTTACCATCAGCCCCACCAAAACTAAGCACATGGCTGGGTATTTGATACCATCAGACACTCCACCCCCACAATTCCCAATTGGTGATGGGGCAGTACTGGAGAGAGTGGAGAGTTTCCCCTACCTGGGCAATAATGTAGTCACTACACCACTGATAATGTAGTTACTACGCCACTGATAATGTAGTTACTACGCCACTGATAATGTAGTTACAACGCCACTGATAATGTAGTTACTACGCCACTGATAATTTAGTTACAACGCCACTGATAATGTAGTTACTACTCCACTGATAATGTAGTTACTACTCCACTGATAATGTAGTCACTACACCACTGATAATGTAGTTACTACACCACTGATAATGTAGTCACTATGTCACTGATAATGTAGTCACCACTGCGTCACTGATTATGTAGTCACTACGTCACTGATAATGTAGTCACTACGTCACTGATAATGTAGTCACTGCGTCACTGATAATGTAGTCACCACTGCGTCACTGATTATGTAGTCACTACGTCACTGATAATGTAGTCACTACGTCACTGATAATGTAGTCACTGCGTCACTGATTATGTAGTCACTGCGTCACTGATAATGTAGTCACCACTGCGTCACTGATTATGTAGTCACTACACCACTGATAATGTAGTCACTACGTCACTGATAATGTAGTCACTACGTCACTGATAGTGTAGTTACTACACCACTGATAATGTAGTCACTACGTCACTGATTATGTAGTCACTACGTCACTGATTATGTAGTCACTATGTCGTCACTTGCCACAGCTCTCACCGTTTTCGTCGAACTCGTCGATCATGGCGGCGAGCTCCTCGGGCGAGGGGCTCTGTCCCAGCATGCGCATCACGCTCTCCAGCTCGCGGCAGCTCAGGCGGCCGTCCTCGCTCTCCTGCACCACCATCTCGAAGGCGGCCTTGAACTCTGCCTCGCACCACACGACGACCCCATCACCATCATCAGCAGCATCACCGACGATAAGATCCCTACGCCCCCCCCCCCCCACCACGGATAGCTGCAATAGCTGCTGTAAGCGCCTGTGAAGGCCGGCACGGCACACGAGGTGATGCGTGGCCAACACCACGCCAGGCCGCCTTTGTCTCCCCAGTGAAGATGCTTACACACCGCACCAGGTACTCATTTGAGGCTGAGTCGACCTAGGGGAGGCCCAGGACCGGTTTCATATAATCGTCATTGGTGTCGGCCGTGATCTGGAGTCGAACTCTGTTCGTCGGATTTATAGCGCAGTGCTTCACTGCGGCTCCCGAACAGCTTCACCTAAACCATCACCACCATCCATCATCATCATCATCCATCATCACCATCATCACCATCATCATCCACCATCATCATAATCACCACCATTTTCAGCATCATGATCAACATCATCACCATCACCACCATCCATCATCCATCATCATCACTATCATCATCATCATCTACCACCATCATAATCACCATCATCATAATCACCACCATTATCATCATCAGCAGCAGCATCGTATCCACTTGCTCCCATCCACTTCTGTGTTGCAGGAGTCGCCGCTGAATCAGCTACAAGTTCGTTTACAGAACGGGAATGCGGGCAAGGTCATGCGTCCTTGGCGAAGCACCTTCCGGCTTGCTGCACGGGGAGAGCTTCACGTTCACCCTTCATCGCTTGTTGTTGTTGTTGAATTAAATGCATTCAGGCAGGGGGAGTTTTTTTTTTTTCTAAGCGAAGCTTCGGGCGCATTTGTTCAACGAGGCGAGCACTCAAGGACCAAGGTATGGGAGTCTCATTTTGTGCGAGTGGACCTGGGGTGTCATTATTCTGACTGGAAGATGGCAGTGATTGTAACTTCTGCTGCTGAAGTATCCCAATTGAACCGTTTGCGGTTTCATCTTCAAGTTTGCCACATTTGGACCCTGACGCGGGCACGCATTGGCCTCCTCTCGCGAAATAACGTCACGGGCTCTTCAACATTCAGCGTGAAGCAGCAGGCGACGCGCACCACCACCAGCAGCAGTTAGTAGTCGTGGTGGTATTCGTAGTGTGAGTATTACTGTCACTACTTCGGTTATTCCACGCCGAAGTAATCATCGGGGCTGCGGGCTGGAGTCGAACCGTGAACCGAGCCACCGCGGGGACAGGGCGACCCTCAGCGTCGCTCGACAATCCGGTGGCTACGGAGAATCAATCCCCTCCGTGCATGACAAATCGGGGGAGGAGGGGGTGTGGGGGGCCACTTTAGCGCGCGCGTGCACGGCGCAGGCGCTCGCCGCCATCCGCGCCTCTAAACTCCGCGGTTGCTTCGCGCCCCACTCAGCATCGCCTCCTGGCGGAACAACGAGACGCGAGTGGCGTTAATTCCGGCACGCGGTGGGGCCTGGGCGGGGAAGGGACGAGCGAGCGGGAGTCCCACCAGGCCGCCTTTGTTTCCCCAGCGCACAGCCTTGCAACCGCGTGTGCCGCCGCTCGTGCCAGGCAGCGTGAACTCGGAAAGAGAGAGAGCGCGGATGAAACGACGCGTGGTGCCTTCCTCTCTCATCTTCCCATCCCTCTCATCATCCCAATCTGCCCCCATCCTCTCCTCATCCCTCCCATCCTACCCCATCTTATCATCATCCCTCTCATCATCCCTCTCATCCTCCCATCCTACCCCATCCTATCATCATCCCTCTCATCCTCCCTCTCATCCTCCCATCCTACCCCATCCTCTCATCATCCCTCTCATCATCCCTCTCATTCTCCCATCCGATCCCATCCTCTCATAATCCCACTCAATCCCAGCTGGCGGAGAGCGCCACTCTGCGCCCCCCACCCCGCATCGACTTCAGGGCCCGAGCTTCCATCGGCTCGCGATGCCCGCCCAGGTCCGGCTCGGGTGAGGCTCGAGTGAAGTTAGAGTGACAACTCAGGTGAAGTTAAAGTTAGCGTCAGGCGAGGCTTTAGGTGAATTTTCAGGCAAGGTTCAGGTGTGGCTCAGGTGAAGTTAAAGTGAGGCTCAAGGTGAATTTCAGGCAAGGTTCAGGTGTGGCTCAGGTGAAGTTAAAGAGAGGCTCAAGATGAATTTCAGGTGAGGTTCAGGTGAGTCGCGGGTGCGAGCGAGCGAGCACGCCCCGGGGCTCCGTGGCGGCACCGCTCCCTACCGTTGCGTTGCTCCTCGGTCAGCTGCTCCTCCTGCAAGGACAAAGACAAAGAGGCGAGAGTCAGCGCGCTGGCGCCGCCACGACGGGTCCAGGTGAGAGAGGTGAGGGGGCACAGAGCGGGCGCCACGGCACGTACCACCTCCATGGCTGCGGGCGACCAGGGCAGCAGTGGAGATACGCGGCTCGGCGCTGCTTTTAAGAGGGGACCCTCGCGGCCCGCTGTAGCGAGCCCCACGCACATAGTTTGACCATATTAGAGAGAGGTGCCCACCGCCCCCAACGCGCCCACTCCCCCCTCCCCATCATCACCCCCTCCATCCCCGTTGTCCGATGCCCGGGCACAAGGACCCATAAACAATGCCGAGAGGAGGCTATGAATAACCACGAGAGCTCCGCGCACAATCACGGCGACGGCGCGCCACGAGGCCCCCACGGGGAGGGGGGCGGGGGACTCCACTCCGTGCGACGGACGGGCGAAATGTCGCGGCTGACTTTTGAGAGAGGTCGACGCGAGTGCGCACGCGCGCCGGCGCGCGGTTGACCTCAGTTTAACCTTTAGCGAGGGCCGAGCGGCGAATGGATGCCACTGCGAGCGTCGCCTTTCGCACGCGGAGAAGGGAGTGATCGATCGGCGGCGGTGTTCCGTTTGTTCCGTGTCTCAGGTGGGTGATTGAGCCAACGGGGAGGGTTGGCAGTATCCTGGTGGATCGGAGAATGCTCGAAGCGGGCAGCGGCCCTGCTATGCTGTTCGTCGTTCGAGGTATCGACTCGCAGGGCGGTTCAGACTGGAGACCCGTGCGAGTAGTCTCGCATAGGCACTCACAAGGGAGCGATCGAAGCGGGAAGCGGTGTTACGATGCGATCCACGGTGCTAAAAAAATTGTTGGCCCCTTTAGCCGCTCGGCTAAAGGGGTCACAGAGGCCAATGCCTCTCTCCTCTGTGATCTGTGCGTGACGCTCCCAATCCAATCAGGGATCGAGCAGGTGCAGCGAGGCCTCGGGCATGTGTGTGAAGAAAGCTCATGGTCACATCTCTTCATGGCTCAACGATACAAACATGGTCTCTAACGGGGGCATGGGAGAGGGGGGGGGCGGTTCGGGGGTCCCGCACTCTCTCCAACCTCTCTCCGCCCTCTCCCCCCGATGCTGCTTTGGCAGAGCGAGAGAGTCGCGACCTTGAGGCGCACGGCGCCACGTGGACACGCGCGGTGCCACCTGTCAGGAGCTGCAACTTGCCGCGTCCTCCGTGTTCGCTGCGAATCGGGAGCAGCGCGTCCATCACCCCCCCCCCACCCCCCGCCCGGGGTCGATGACGTTCCGTTCGTTGTTTACGTCATCCGATACGCGCGTGGCCACCGAGAGGTGGCCCGCGGGAATGATGGATGCAATATTCTATCGATGTCCCAGGAGGAACACAATGCTGAACTCTGACACAAATATGCCCGAGTCTGTTGCTCATAAATAGAATCCGAAAATCCACGTGCCGTTTTAGAATTTGTATCCCGATAAATTCGCGGTAACATTGAATTTATTTCTTTTAATAGGCCAGGCTCGACCGAATGTTCTACCTTAATCTAAGTCACTGACACCTCTATGAGCCCCATCATAAGGGAACCGAGTAACTGCCTTCCCCTGGAATGTGACACTCAAGCCAGCATAAATCCGTTCGACGTTACGAATCTCATTATTTGCCATGATACCCCCGAGCACCACGGCACTGCCTTGATCAGTGCCATCCCGTGTGTCGGCGCACAGACTCACAGAGGCCGTGCCTGAGCACCGCGTAGATGAAACAGGGGCACCGGTTGTTTTCGTGTCGTTTTCACCGTTTCGTTTGTATCGATTCCCGTTTTTTTTGTGTTACCTATCCTGCCATCTACAATTCCGCTCACCCCAATTCGCCCAAATTACAGAGTAACGTACAGTTTGAGCGTCATTAGCATCGCAGTTCTGTCCTGCACGCGTACCTCGATTGATTACGTCTCGTTACACCAACATTTACTCTGAACATTCCTGTAGAATATCGCCACTATTTTATTTCAATTAATTAAAAGCCACGCGCTTGCACGACACTATGTGTATGTATGTTGAACTTCTTTCGCACCGTACGTAGCCAACCGCGCTAATTGGAGGTGCGGGGGAAGGACAAAATAAACTATGTATGAGTTTGTTGAACTTCTTTCGCACAGTACGTAGCGAACCGTGCTAATCGGAGGTGCGGGGGAAGGACGACAAACAGGTGCTATAGGCTTGCGAGGGTCTACGTTGTAAGCAGAGAGCAGTGCTCGATGATTGTTGTGCTATACTTCGCTCCAACGTCTATGCTCGCCTTCAAATCCGCAATGACCAGAGTGAAGTATGGTCAAATATCCCTCCACCTACCACCCCCCCCCCCTCCCCCCCCCCCCAATATCCACACGGTGTGGGAAGACCCTCATCCAGTGGATTGACAAGAGTGCTGGAAAATGCACACACACACACGCGTCTGTCTATCCACGGCGGACTTTCGCTGCCCACGTGAATATTTCTGGCAGCATTGACACAGTGAGATAATGGACAGAGGGGTGGGGGGGAGGGGGCTGACGTGGGGCATCGGCCGTGTCGGAGCCCCGTCAGCCACGCTGCTGACAGCGCTGATCTCGGCGCCACGCAGCGGTTAATGCTTCATAACCCCAGCGTTATGCGTGGAGGGGGTGGGGGGCTCTCTAAAATTTTAATTGTCGGGCCCAGGGTACCATGGAGGTAGGGGGGAGTTCGTGTGCCCCCGCTCATTCCACTACCACCGCCACCGCCACTCAACGCGTCAATTGCGGCAATAGATAACGGTACCTGCCTGAACGTGCGCTCGCAAACTAAACGTCTTGGATCGAGGCCGCGGTCACGTGCGCGGCTCTCGCCTGTCTCACGTGGGCCTCGTTCCCGTCTCTCGTGGGCCTCATTCCCGTCTCTCGTGGGCCTCATTCCCGTCTCTCGTGGGCCTCATTCCCGTCTCACGTGGGCCTCATTCCCGTCTCACGTGGGCCTCATTCCCGTCTCTCGTGGGCCTCATTCCTGTCTCACGTGGGCCTCATTCCCGTCTCTCGTGGGCCTCATTCCCGTCTCACGTGGGCCTCATTCCCGTCTCTCGTGGGCCTCATTCCCATCTCACGTGGGCCTCGTTCCCGTCTCACGTGGGCCTCATTCCCGTCTCACGTGGGCCTCATTCCCGTCTCACGTGGGCCTCATTCCCGTCTCACGTGGGCCTCATTCCCGTCTCTCGTGGGCCTCATTCCCGTCTCACGCGGGCCTCATTCCCGTCTCACGTGGGCCTCATTCCCGTCTCACGCGGGCCTCATTCCCGTCTCACGTGGGACTCATTCCCGTCTCACGTGGGACTCATTCCCGTCTCACGTGGGACTCATTCCCGTCTCACGTGGGCCTCATTCCAGTCTCACGTGGGCCTCGTTCCTGTCTCACGTGGGCCTCATTCCCGTCTCACGTGGGACTCATTCCCGTCTCACGTGGGACTCATTCCCGTCTCACGCGGGCCTCATTCCCGTCTCACGCCGTCTGCAAGCCTAAGGACCTGTACACATTAATTAATCATTTAGGGCGCTGTGCCGGCCCCGTCTAGTGGCTGTAGTGCGGGTTGATTGACCATACTTACCCAGGCAAAATGGTAACAGTAGGGGGCGGGGTGGGTAGGGATAGGAGCAGTTCAGACATCACTCGCCACTGATGTTGGCCGTGGCCGCGCAAACGAACCCGGGTCGCCGGCTTCGTAGTCGCGGTGCGCTCACCACTTCGCCGCTCCTCCCGATGTACTTTCGCAGCAGTAAGCTTGCCGCGGCTAACGCGGCTGCGGCGACGGTCACGGGGTAAGGACGCAAGCCATGGGATGGATTCGCTTCGACCGTGCGACATGCGTCATTCACCTCTGAGTGCTCGTCACTCACGCCCGATAATAATGAGGCCGCCGCCGCTGCTACTTCTGCCACAGTAACTCTCCACTCTCCGCGATCTGCACTGGCTTCCAGTAAGATTTCGCATCCCGGTATAAGTTAGCCATTCCGATCTATAAGGGGCCGTCCATAAATGACGTGACGCACCTAGGGGGGGCCAAACATATGTGACGATGTGTGACGAGGGGGGTGGGCGGTTGAGAAATGTGACGTCACATCAAAATACGCAACTTTAAATAAATATAGGATTGTTATAACAACACTCCTACAACATCAGAGTGCAGCGCCACATTAAACACGCACTACAATGACAATAGTTTAAAGCGATTTGAAGCATGTTTTATTTTCAAAATGGAAAAAAAATTGGGGGGGGGGGCAGAGCTTTGTGACGTCATATTTAAGGGGGGGGGGGTCTGACTTTTTGTGACGCCACGTGACGAGGGGGGGGGACAAAAATCGTCCAAAATCGCGTGACGTCATTTATGGACGACCCCTAAAGCTCTGCGTGGTCTTGGACTTGTGTACCTGGGGGTCCGCCTGATCTGTCATAGGACCGGGGATTATGCGGCGCTACGCTGCTCTGAGAGGACGTGCTACTGCCCTCGCAGCCTCGGCTCTTGCGCTCGACGCCGGGTGAGGGTTCGGGCCTTCTCAAAGCGTTGCCGGATCGTGATTCGGCAACGCTGCGAGCCTCGGTGTGTTTAGGAGTGGAGTGCCAAGACTGACCAATTGTGGCACGGCTTTTACTTCAAATGTTACTCCCGGTGATATTAAAATAAATACGGTGTCGGGATGATGACGATGAGAACCAGCACGCACGGCCGTCTATTCGGAACCGCCACGACCCCGGCCCAGGCGATGCGAAGTCTTCCCGCGAGCCACCGCGCCTCACGCCCCGAATACAAAATCCGATCGCGATGATTGCGCAACGCGTTCCGGGCGCCTGAAACGACGCACAACAGAGGGAGGGGGCTCACTGATTGGTTGACTGTGAGCGGCGGCTCCTCTTGCGTCAGTCACGTGGCACGCGCGCGCGTCTCGCGTGCCACGTGCCCTCCCGTAAGGTTAACGCGGACTGTGGTTTAGCAATCATCCGGTGCGCTCGGCGCTGCATTAGGATTTAATTTGCGTTTGAACAAAATAAATGTACGTTGAACTTAATTCGCGCCGTACATAGCCAACCGAGCTTATCGGCGGTGCGGAGGAAGGAAAACAAACTGTATATATGTGTACTTGTTGAACTTCTTTCGCACCGTACGTTGCCAAACGCGCTCATCTGAGGTGCGGTTTGGTGAAGGTGGAGAGACGACCATTGCACGGTGAT